GGAGACCACGTTAAATTTGATACAACAAAAAGGAATTTTATAAATGAGCAATGTCACCCAGGGCATCTCTTATGCTTAAAGTTGTCATCTCAGAACAAGAGTAGGTCAGGCTTAGCGAAGCCATGCAACCCTGGGAACAAAACTTCCCTTCCAACAATTGGCCGCATGATTCTCCTGAAGGCGCTTGCTTCCGTTGTGTCCATTTTTGTTGTCTCTGCTTTAGAGCGCTATGCAGAATTTATTACTATTTTCTGTAATAGAAAAGGCTCACTCGAAGCACTCTAGAGCACAAGTATCAGTAAAAGCCCTGCTGATGCTCTTGTAGCCGTTTGCTCCAAGATGTCTCCCTGAACAAAGTCCTACTCCTAACATGACAGATCAGATGTATTTTCACATCTCTTGACAGTGTAAATAGGCTCTGGGCTAGCTGTATCAGACATTCTGTTTCAGGACCAGGACTGAGGTTACCAAGTAGCCTAAGCACGTGCTTTTCAAGCATGCCCATTTTGGAAGAACTATAGATCTTTGGGCATGTATACAGCAGGCAAATTAAAATCAGAAACACTGGATTTATTACGGTTCTGAAATTCTGAAATAACTTTTTTTTTTTTTTTTTTTTTTACTCTTTAGCTAGCCCAAAGATACTAGAGATCTAAGAAAAATATTCAATATATTCAAGCATTTCCCAGCTCACTTTTCTTACCACTGTAGTGTTCTTCAGGCTTCAGTTCAGAGTTGTGAAGGGCATCCCAAGTTCTCCTCCTACAGTTTACATCTCTTCTTTTAGATTACAGAAGTTCCATTACACTACCTCCATCCTCCACTGTTCATCTCCTCTCTCAACGAGGAAAATCTTTATTCTTAAAACTTCCTGTTTTCTTTGTCAGGTGAGCTGTCACACCTGGCCACCTTCATCAGACGCTCCTCAGATACTTTTGTTTGACGATCACTCTCCCGGGGATCAGAACTTGAAGACCAGTTTGCCTAGTCAGTATCTCATAGAATTATAGAATGGTTTGGGTTGGAAGGGACCCCAAAGATGACAGAGTTCCAACCTCCTGCCATGAGCAGGGACACCTTCCACTAGACCAGGCTGCTCAAAGCCCCGTCCAATCTGGCCTTCAACACTTCCAGGGAGGGGGCAGCCACAGCTTCTCTGGGCAACCTGTGCCAGTGTGTCACCACCCTCACTGTGAAGAGCTTCCTTACATCAAATCTAAATCTACCTTCTTTCAGTTTAAAACTGTTACCCCTCATCCTATCACCAGTACACTCCAGCCTCACCTTTCCTGTAGGTCTCTAAGTACTGGAAGGCTGCTATAAGGTCTCCCCAGAGCCTTCTCCAGGCTGAACAACCCCAACTCTCTCAGCCTGTCCTCATAGGGGAGGTGCTCCACCCCCCTGATCATCTTTATGGCCTCCTCTGGACCTGCTTGAGCAGGTCCATGTCCTTCATATACTGAGGGTCCCAGAGCTGGACACAGTACTCCGGTGGGGTCTCACGAGAGCAGAGTAGAGGGGGAGAATCCCCTCCCTTGACCTGCTGGCCACACTTCTCTTGATGCAGCCCAGGATACAGTTGGCTTTCTGGGCTGTGAGCACACACCGATGGCTCATACTCAGTTTTCCATCCACTAGTACCTCCAAGTCTTTCTCCTCAGGGCTGCTCTCAATGCACTCATCCCCCAGCCTGTATTTGTGCTTGGGATTGCCCTCACCCATGTGCAGGACCTTGTACTTGGACTTGTTGAACTTTATGAGGTTTGCACAGACCCACCTCTCCAGCCTGTCAAGGTCCCTCTGGATGACATCCCTTCCCTCCAGCGTGTCAACTGCACCACACAGCTTGGTGTTGTTGGCGAACTTGCTGAGTGAGGGCGCACTCAATCCCACTGTCCGTGTCTCCAGCAAAGAAGTTAAACAGTGCTGGTCCCAGTACCGACCCCTGAGGAACAGCACTTGTCACTGTTCTCCACTTGAACATTGAGCTATTAACCACAACTCTTGGAGTGTGACCATCCAGCCAATTCCTTACCCACCGAGTGGTCCATCCATCAGATCCATGTCTTCCCAATTTAGAGACAAGGATGTCATGCAGGACAGTGTCAAATGCTTCGCACAAGTCCACGTAGATGTCATCAGCTGCTCTTCTCTTATCCACCAATGCCGTAACCCTGTTGTAGAAGGCCACTGAATTCATCAGGCATGATTTGCCGTTAGTGAAATCATGTTGGCTGTCACCAATCATCTTCTTATTTTCCATGTGTCCTAGCATAGTCTGCAGGAGGATCCACTCCATGATCTTGCCAAGCACAGAGGTGAGACTGACTGGACTGTAATTGCCAGGTCTTCCTCTTTGAAAATGGGGGTTATGTTTCCCCTTTTCCAGACAGCAGGAACTTCACCAGACTGCCACAGTTTCTCAAAAGTGATGAAGAGTTGCTTAGCCATTTCATCCAGCAGTTCCCTCAGGACCCACAGATGCATCTCATGAGGTCCCATGGACCTGTGCAACTTCAGGCTCCTCAGACAGTCTCAAACCCAATCTTCTCCTGCAGTGGATAGTTCTTCATTCTGCCAGTCCCTGCCTTTGCTTTCTGCATCTTGGATGGTGTGGCTAGAGCTCTTGCCAGTGAAGACTGAGGCAAAAAAGTCAATGGGTACCTCAGCCCTTTCCATATTCCAGGTGACCAAGTCTCCCGTTTCCTTCCAGAGAGGGCCCACATTTACCCTAGTCTTCCTTTATAACAGACATAGCTATAGAAGCTTTTCTTGTTGCACTTGACCTCCATGGCCAGATTTAATTCTATCAGGATTTTGGCCTTCCTGACCTGATCCCTGGCTGCTAGGACAGTTTATCTTATCTTCCTTCCAGTCTACCTGTCCTTTCTTCCACCCTCTGTAGGCTTCCTTTTTGTGTCTGAGCTTGTCCAGGAGCTCCTTGTTCATCCATGCAGCCCTCCTGGTGGTCTTATCTGACTTTATCCTGACATCTTTGTTGGGATGCATTGCTCCTGAGCTTGGAGAAGGTGATCCTTGAACATTAACCAGCTCTCTTGGGCCCCTCTTTCCTCCAGGGCTTTATCCAATGTTACTCTGCCAAGTAGATCCCTGAAGAGGCCAAAGTCCGCTCTCCTGAAGTGCAGGGCAGCGAGCTGGCTGTGCATCCTCTTTGCTGCCCTAAGGATCTTGAACTCCGCCACTTCATGGTCACTGCAACCTAGGCTACCCTTGAGCTCCTCCTTGAATATCTCCCTGAATATTCTGCTAAAATGGTTTATCAAGCTTTAATGATCTTTTCTTGTCAGAATGGAGGAATTTCTCACACCACCTTTGGTGGTTCAGATGGAAAGCAAACCACAAGAAAACCAACAGCCATACGATCTGAACACCTAATAGAAGAGAACCCACAACTGGACATAGACATCAAATCACATACAAATCATCATCAAAGCATTTGTGACCTACTTTTTACCACAGAAGATGGATTTTTCTGCATTCAGTCAAGTGCTATTACACACTGCCACCACTAAGAGCAACACGCAGACTATCTGGATACAGTAGTTGAGACCAGGTGTCAAGAGGACTACAGGGGATCATCTGTGCCCAATCACAACATCCACATACCTTGCAAAAGTTGTTTCCAGTCAGTAGAAAACTGTTACTCAAGAGTGGAAACACTAATTACAGATGTTGAAGGACCCAGAGGTTCCCCCCACAAACAAGGTTCCCTCTCAATGCACTGGCTTTATACATTTTAACTGTAATAGTATTTGCATAAAAGTAACTATAAAACTAGAAAGTTCAGAAAGAAAAGGGAAAAAGCTGTAGAGCTAGAGGGCAATAAGGGGAAAAAGGGAAACTATACCTGTGATACTGTTCCCAGCAAATTAATTTATTTTCACCTTCCTAACGGAGTTTTTTTTTTTTTTTTTTTTTTTTTTTGTACAAGTCACCACAGTATTTGCTTCAGGAAGAGTCTGGTAACAGGATGTGAACATTTGTGAATTTAGGAAGGGGCTGATACTATGAAACAGCTTAGAAACTATACATTTGTAATTCAGTTCAGCATGATAGTTAGAATTTGCCAGATATTAATGGGTTGACTTGCAAAGAAACAAAACCCCAACTCTTCTTACATTACCCTACATGACCCTTAATAACCACAGCAGCTACATCATTGTTTTATGCCTTAGAATCCTCAGCCACTGGAAAGAAAAATAAACAACCCATCCCAGCAGTATCTTCAGGAGCAAAGCGTCACCTTCTAGAAGGGCAGCAGTCACCCACAATTAGGACAAGAAAGATAAGACAAATAACTATACACTCACAAACATGCATGGTGTTTACCCACAGACTTCTACCTCTTACATCACCGTAATCCCCCAAAGAAGTCACTGTGGAAGAGAAACACAGATAGTTAAATTCAGTGTTGCTGGTCAGAATTGTTCTGATACTCTGACCATCTGCAAGCAAAATGAACCAGCTCAATTCTCTAGTATTATAATCAATATAATTGGGACTGAAAGCAAGCAGGTGAACATGAGTTGCTCTTCACTGTAGGGTGCCTAGTAAGAACAGTCCCACACACTGGGTCTGGATCTGTGACTAATTTTCTTTCTGAATGCAGGAGCAAACGAAGTTATTGCATGATGCAGACACCAGCCTTTCTTTTCAGAAGAGCCATTGTGTTCAGAGAAATCTTGGCTCGAAGCATCTTGAAATCATGAGAATCCTTCTCTGTATTTTAGTATGTTTTGAATCAGGCTCATAGGGACCATATCAGAGAATCATTTCAAAACCTGTTGTTTTACTAAGTAATGACCTTCAGTTTATTTTCTGGAACACCTCTGCTAAATCCTTCATTGCCTACCTTTTTAATTTGTGTACATGGCACCATGTAGTGAACAACATCACAATCAATGCTGCTGCCAACCCTCCCTCCCCCTTTAGTATCAATAACATGATATATAAAGTCAGAACTTTGTGTTAAAGATGATCTACACACAAAAATTTTACTCAAGTTATTTAATAAAACCATTTTGTTAAAAAATGAGTTAGTGATGATTGGAATTTTAATAAAAAATTTCAGAAATTACAAAAAATGTCATTATATAACAAACAGAACCTGAATATATGAGAGGAGTTAGACAAATCTGGTAGTATGGTCTACAGAAAACCTATGCAGAAGGGAGATCATCTGTTCCTGAGTTGTGTTTCTTTTTGTGTTCTTCTGAGATAAAATGATTGCCATGTAGAATTTTCTCTTTCTACCTGAGCCTTTGTGCTAGGTATGTCTCTTCTATCCATTTTTTGACGCTGATGTTACATACGCACAGTTAAGAGGCTCTCTGAATGCCCAAGAAAGAAAAAATATCTGAGGCCTAAAAGAAATACTCCAAATGAAAAGCAGTGTACTGTAAGCAGCCTGTAGGCAAAAATAACCCAAACTAATTCCTATACTGACTAGTCAGAGATGCTCGTCCGGTAGCTGCCCTGAATGCTAGGGCTGCCACATAAAAGCTTGCTGCCTTCTCAGCCAACTCATTCTGCAATAAATAATAATGCTCCTTTGTGAGAAGTGTAATTTTACTTTACATACCATTACACATCAGTAAGTCTCGAAAACTCTGAGAGCGATGGCAAAAGAGAGAGTATGAAAGGAAGCAAGGGCAAGACTGAAAGAAAGAAGGACAAGGGGGTAAGAGAGTGAGCACACAAGAGTAAGAGGGAGCTTGAAGGGTACGTGACAGAGCACGAGCAAAGGGCACAAATCAGTAAGCCTCTGGAAGTCCTTCCATTCCTATGGCATCCTTACCAGCTTTGTGCTGCTGAGCCTCTCAGACCCTGAGCCACAGCTGCGCAAGTCAGATGGTGCCACGTGGCAAGAGTGACAGTCAGTCTGGAGCCCAAGTTGGGGCAAAAGTATCTTCTCTGATTGACTGAAGCAGCCAGCCAGCACCTATCTCATCTATCAAAGTCCCTCAGAACACCCTCCCTGTCTTTCTGCCAAAAGAGTCACTGCTGGACCTCCAAGGTCTGTACTTGGATATTACATTTTAGAAGAAATCTCCTGCATCTAGATTAGGCTGTTCTATCAAAGTGCATCTTTCCTCTATACATATACCCATTCATGTAAATTATTCCTTCATAAGGCTTTACAATATCTCTGAAATGTTTCAAATCTGTATCTAATAAATATTACAGGAAAATATTTTTTCAGTATTTACATATAAAACATATAAAAATATGATTATTGTAAGATTACTTCTTCGATGTCATCTTCTAAAGAACCAAGGGTCTTAACTCCTGGTTTGCTTGTAGTGTGTTGCAAACGGTGTCTGCTTAGGTTTCTTACTTCACCAAAAAGGTCACTGTCTTCTTTGACTTTACTGGCTTTATCAACAAGAAGAGTATTACTAGAGTCCCAATCTATGTCAAAAGGTGTTGTATCATTATTTTTAGAAAGAAAGATGGTACTGGCACTGCTTCCAAAGAGCTGCTCCATTAAATTGGACTTCTTTTCTCTCTTACTATTGAAATCTGCATTTTCCTTAACATTTTCTTCTAAGTTGTCGCTTTTTTGAGTAAGCCAACTCTGTCTCCCTGATCCTTTCCCAAAGGAAGGTACGTAACTACCAAATGCTATCTCACTACTTAAATCTAAGGTCCTTACATTTCGTTGCTTCTGCCCTAGTGCTCTTGTGGCATCATCTCGGCTGTCATCTACAGGAAATCCATTAGTAACCTTTCCAGGAATCTCAAAGAATTGATTAGTTTTTTCTTTTTTCTCCATGGAATGCAATTTTCTTGCTGTATTTATGAGTGGTGCTTGGGAAGCAGGTTTCATGTTCATCACATTTTGAGTTTCTCTATCAATTTCTTGCATTTTAGCAAGCAGGAACTCTCTTTTTCGCTGCTCTTCCAGCATTTCAGTGCTTTCTCTCTCTACTTCAGGTTTGTGGACTTGTGTCTCCATCTTTGTTTTCTCTTTATCCAATAAAAAGCTGCTTTCCTTTTTCATTTTGTCATATTCTTCCCTTTCCCAGTCTGCAAGAAATGATTAAACATTATTTTAAATGTTTTAGTTTTAAAATTACTTTAAAAGAATATTTTGAAAATAATGCAATCAAAAGCCATTGAGTTTTTAACATGCTCTTCTATGCATAACATGGTTTCCCCACTGCAAAAATAAATTCTTCAAAAATTACAACAAAATTCACACCAGGTTCTCTACTAAGATATAAAAGTTTACTGTCATATTCCAAAGGGATTAGGACATTATCCACGTTTTAAAATTTTCAGAGGAATTTCATTTCTGCCAATTGCCTCTCCATTTCCTGGGTCTGAATGAAAATTAATACAACATCACTGATTTTAACAGTTCTGACTTGCACAGTACTTTATTTTCCTTTGTCAGCACCACTGACATTTGGATGGTTCTGGGATATACATTTGGGGTTTTTTTTTCCATGAAGGGAACTAGTCCTGGGAAGCTACCAGGCCAAAAAGTCATGGGAGTCATTACTGGTTTCAAGTAGCGAATGCTTTAAAATATACTGCGTCTGCTGCATACAGAAAACACCTTTACGTTGAACTCAGTGAGAATGTCTGTGCAAATATCAAATGTCAGTTTGGTGCCCCTTTATAGCTGTGCAAAGGTGCAAAACAATAATAAACTTCTAGATAGAACCTGCAGATACTTATGTGTACAAGAAAAAGGAAACCTCTCAAATATTTCTCTCTTCAAAATATTTTTCTATCATGAGGTATGTCTTTGGCCAAAAGCTGAATATGACTTCCTGGCCCCTTCAACTGCATTCCCCTTTGAACACTTTATTCAAATTTCTGACTGATGTTTTCACAAAATTCCACATTATCTATTCTACTTCAGATCAAACTTACAATAATAACTGCAATTAAATATATTTAATATATATATATTTTTTCAATAACATAACATTATACCAAGTTAAGTAAGGAGCTACTTTCTGTATGTAAGGTGGGAAAAATATCAGCTTACACTGTAAGATGGGCAAGGTGGTCAAATCACCCTACTTAAATGACATAACAACAGATTCTTGGCTTATATAAGTTGTGCACTGATGTCAGCAGAGGTAGAAGATTTTACTCAGAATTCACCTCTGAAAGCAGCTACAGATTTTTTTAGAATTCTTCCTTGTCATCTAGAATAAGTGTTACTGTTCATTAATTATAAACATGAAAAAATATTTTAATGTGACAGGTTGCAGTCCACCTAAAATACTTCAGATTAAGAGACTTATGAATGAAGTCATTAAGATGTTGTGAAAACCAAATTAATATTTTCTGGCTTGTCTCAGGAATAGCGTGGCCAGCAGGACCAGGGAAGTGATTGTTCCCCTGTACTTGGCACTAGTGAGGCTGCACCTTGAATACTGTGTTCAGTTTTGGGCCCCTCACATCATGACAGACACTGAGGTGCTGAAGTGTGTCCAAAAAGCAACAAAGATGGTGAAGGGTCTAGAGCACAAGGAACTGGGGTTGTTTAGCCTGGAGAAAAGGAGGCTCAGGGGAGACCTTATTGATCTCTACAACTACCTGAAAGGAGGTTGTAGTGAGGTGGGTGCATGTCGGTCTCTTTTCCCAAGTAAGAAGTGATATGATAAGAGGAAATATCCTCAAGTTGCACCAAGAGAGGCTTAGATTGGATAGTATGAAAAATTTCTTCACCGAAAGGGGTTGTCAAGCATTGGAACAGACTGCCCAGGGAAGCAGTGGAGTCACCACCCCTGGAGTTGTTTAAAAGATGAGCTGACGTGACACTAGGGTGTAGTGGTGGACTTGGCAGTGTTAGGTTAACAGTTGGACTCAGTGATCTTAAAAGTCTTTTCCAAACCAAACCATTCTACGATCCTAAGATTCTAATAAAAAAGCAATATTAAAATACAATTATAGAAACTGACATTTCTCAAACAGCCCCACCAAATGATTCAGATAACCACAAGTGAAAAGAAACTACAATTTCAAATTATATGACTGAAGTAGACATGTACTGAAAAAAACAGGCCATATTAAGTAAAGCAGATTTGTTTTACAACAGTAAAAATCTATTGCGTACCTCAATAACATCTAACAAATCAGAGATAACATCAGCATTTACCTGCTATGTCATCCTTGTGTTGTAAAGCAAAATCTCTCAGGCTTCCATATTTTTTCATGGACAGCATTTTTTGCTGCTGCATACTTAATCACAGCTGAGTACAGGGGACAGATTATTCTATATCCCATACTTCTTTCTGATTCTCTTTGCATAATATAACTGAAAATAATTTTCCACTGTAGTGATCTCTGCAAAATCATTTCGCTCTTCTCACAAGAAACTAGCAGCCTGCCTTGATTAGTATTCTATGGTGTATTTTCCAGCCTTCAGCTGCCTGTTTCCTTACCATCATGTAGTTTTTGAACCCTCTCCTCTAAAGCCTGTATTTCCTGAAAATGACTCTGTTTCTCTTCTCTTTCCCTGTCTCGGTCTTGTCTTAGGAGGTCAGCTTGCTCTTTCTGTTCTTTGTCCTGAGTTTCTTTTTCCTGAAATAGATTGATACAAAACAGAAAGTGATAGGGAATAATAATCAATAAAACAAACAAATAAAACCATATGAACTTCTACATCATTACATTCTTACTGCTAAACATAAAAATGAGCAAGTCATCTAAACCAAGCCAGCTTTGACAACCTAGGGGTTTGGCCCTAAAATCTTATCACCTCTAACATAGTTTTATGCACCTGAAACAAAATGAATAGACAGTCACTCTGTTCTGTATTACACCTCTCATGAAAGCTGCAGCTCCAATGTCATAAAGCAAAATTATCACTGTGTTAGGGTAGTTCTCTTTAGAAGTCAGAAGTTTTATTTTCAAGGACTTTAATAGAAGGCCAGACTTCATCACCTTATTCTTTTAATAAGCAAGCATCTAGTTACAAACAAGCAATAAATCTATTTCCACAATCTGATCTTTTTACTCAAGTGAGTGGGTTGTAGATTTGGAGAGTTTGATAGTGGTGCTTAAAGTTATGGAGAACTAAAGTAACAAACAGTGAAAGAGAAAGGTTTAATCTTAAAAGGAAAGAACCTGCAGAAGATATTAATGTCAGCAGTAAACATCACTAACAGAAAAGTAGTAGCAATGAGGTGAAGAGAAAGCCAGTGTAATTCAACATGTGGATGCTAACTTTGTAGCTTGTGATTATTTTAGGGCAGAATAAGATTCTAGATTAAAAGAGAAACAAGATAAAATTACTAGTTAACAAACAAAGAAAATATGACTATTAGCCAAAACAACTTCAAATATTTTCCCTTCATGTACAAGGCTGTCATTATTTTATTTTAAAAACCAAAAAACTTCATAAAGAGATGGTGGGCAAGTATTTAAAATGCTTGACTTAGAAAAATGATGAAAGCACAGGCTACCCAAATCTAATTTATGTTACCTTAAACCAACAGCTATACATGAACTAGAGAGGTTTGTAAGATGACATATAGTTGGACTCCATGAGCTGCACTGCACCAACTGTGCAGTTCTGTAACTCACACACCAAAGTATATGCTGGAAGAATGCATACATTAAACTACATCCATACAGAAAGGATTTTGGAAGAGAGAACATATGAATGAAACAGTCATAAAAAAAGCTTCAGTCCTACCAGGAAGCCAGTCAAGACCATCATCAGAGAATTATTACTGACAAATAGTCCTAGCCTTATGTAATCAGAATTTGTACAATTTGTACCATAATCTGTGTCATTCTGATTTGTAATACCTTACAAATCTCTTTGATTTTAGCCTGAGGTCACAGTATTTGCAATACTTCTAATGGTGCTATTTTATAATAAAAAGGGAAATGGAAAACTGAAAAAATCCAACCATATTCACAAAGCTGGAAAGACGACAGAAGAAATACCAGCATTATGACAATAAGAGGAAGTGTTAGATTTATGCATTGTGAAATAAATCTGGAAAGTAAAAGAAACCATAATTAAGACCAAAGCAAAAAGAGAGACAAGGCAGCCAGCACTGTTACAACAGATTGCTCAAATAAGCATTATAAATAAAGGGGAGAAAACCAAAATGAAGTCTTAAAAACTTCAAAGAAATGACAGTGGCAGCACACTGAGCAAACTGAGCTAACAGTTATTAGTAAAACATAGAATATGATGAACTAAGCATCACAAAACCCAAGTATGATATTTCTGGAAGGGCAGAGTTGGTCTTAAAGATTGCAATGTTTTCTAAATTATATTTCCTATATATTCATATTTGTATATTCACCCATATTTTCTAAAATAAAAGTTGTGCATTAAACAGTCTGATAGGTGAGTGATTGGAGGAAGTTTCAAATTTTTATGGAACTCACTATTTTAGGAAGAATCCCTTCTTTCTTGTTTACTGTGTCACCACAGGCAAGCTCTGATTCTGGAAATAATTCTACTGGTGAGAAGTATCCACTGGTCTGCACACCTTTTGTGAGCTGTGATCCTTTTTTAATATTTTGGTTGTTGGCTGTAGAAAATAGAAACGAATTAAATAAAGTTTTCACTTGAAAATATCCCACTATATACCTATTTCTCGTTTTACTGATTTGCAGGAAACATAAAAGACATTGGAGCCAATGGAAGTGGAAAGTATTGACGTTCCACATAGCTGTTTTCAGCATCTGTAAATGCTATTTAAAAAAAAATTGCACACAAAACTTCTACTGAAATAAAATAAAACCCCCTTAAAGTCATTACTGTATACTGAATATTTGTTTAAAAATCCCCACAAAATCTCTCACTCATCTTACTGCTTGCCACAGAAGCTACATGTAGAGAAGCAAACTCATAAAACTAAAATTCACTTATCTGCATCTTTGAAACACACACACTTATCTCTATGGAATGACATTTTAAAAAATCTGAACCTAAAATAAAATAATAGTAGAACAGCTATAATAAAATGAGCAGCAGACAAACTGTTTGAAATGCTGGCATTAACTATTTAAGTCAGTCCCATAAATTCCTGCTTCTTCTGACAAATAGATTCTACTGATCCAGTGAAAACTGTCCAAGCACACATACAGACACACATATATACAAACATATTTATGTGGGTAGCATAAGGCTTGAGGCTGCCTTGTCACACCAGAAGAAATCACTGCACTGATACTTTTAAAAGATTATGTTCTGGGACATATGCACTCTTTGAGAAAAAAAAAAAGAGTGCAGCTTATCTGACAGACAGTAAACCTGAATTAGGAAAAAATAAATTAAAACCACCACCAAAATATTCATAGCAGTGAAGTATTTTTAAAGCATCTGTAATTTATTGTCATTTATTAAGAGAATTTACAAAACAATCTTTCTCTCCTCTTTCACCCAGGAACACCTGCTATGAAAGGAGTTATGAACTCTGATGAAGCTCTGGATTTTGGTTCTGCTGCAGCTACAGAACAGTCAAATAAACAGCGTGCCCTTCTTTGTAACAAGTGCTGTGTTGAAAGCAGTGCAAAAAACCAAATGTTCTTGAACAAGCACTGGTAGGGTCAAACACTGAGTGGCATGAATAATAGCAGAGTAATTTTAAAGTGTCGCTATTAATTTTTCTGCCTTTATTGCTTTATGTAAGTTACCTCTTTTTCGTTGTATAATATCCATGTCTTTTCTTGGTGATAGCTTCAACATACGATTAGCGTATATATTTTTTGCTTCAAGTTCTCTTTCTTTTTCCTGTGAATTAAAGAGGTAGGTATAACAATGAGTTACTAACATTTAATTTACTAGTCATTAGCAAAGCTGTAAATTACATTAAAAATACATGCTGTAAATAGAAGCAGAGAAGTAATCAAATGTTACATCTGATGTTTTAAGGAGAACAATCACATTACTAACTTAGCTTATGCTCTAAGAAAGCAGACAGAACTAAGCAGACAGAACCCCCCAACAAACTTATTAGCAAAATGTTCTGGAAAAAAAAAGCACCGAAAATAAAACTAAATGCCAATGCTTCCATCAACATGAGTAAGATTTACAATGTATTTATAGATTGCACAACTGAATTTTCAGTATTGTAAAGAGTTAAAACATTTCAATGCTAGCAATGTTACTTGTCACAGGGCATGTCAGTACCACTGAGCAGAGGCTCACTGCATCACAGAGGTAGAGATATAATCTTCTTTAATGGCATTTATTGAATAAAATACAGATGCAAACAGTGAGTTATCAGAAATCATCTATAAAATATTTTGAAAATATTAAACTCTCCACTAACAAATCAGGCTTAAAACACTTACTCTAAACGTAGAAGTTTGAGTTACTAATGCTGCTACTTGCTTGGTAACTAGTAAGGTGGTAAACTGGTGCACCTCCATTATATAAGTATGTTAGAGACTTTGGGTTTCAGGGTAATTGTCCTAGAAATGAAGTACTTCAGCTCAAGTAATTTAATTTTTTTTCCTAAAGATAAGCTGACTAGGTAGAACATAACAATACTTTCAGTCCTTAAATTTAGAATGTGGGCAACAATGGGGTAGGGGGATGCAAATAAACCTTTGCACAAAATTTAGCAGCACATGTGGATATCAAATACATGAAATTAATCTTTACACAAACCTACAGTAATGCAAGTACATTAGTAACAAAGTACTGTATATACCTGCAGATTTAATTTTAAATTCAAGTGTAATTTTCCAGTATATCTTGTGGTTTAATCTCAAATGCTTGCCTATGTACTTGATCCTTCTTTTTTTAACTTGTGCTAACAATAATGATTAACGTAGAGACATTCCTACTATAGACAATGTAGGGTCGGAGCACAGAACGTTTCAGGAAAAGCACTCACATGTAGTATATAATTAAGTACACATCAGAGTGCAGTCACTGGTAAACTATTCAAACCCGATTACAGATACTTCCAAAGATAAAATGCCAGAACATGTTTAGCAACTTGTATTGCTTCACATTCTACCTTCAGCTTCTGATTTAGTTGATGAAGCTCTTCTTGGAGAATTCTGTTTTCTTCTTGAGCCTCATACATCTTTTTTTTCTTTGAATGTAACTCTCGTTGAAAACTGCTACCACTTAATTCAAGATTTCTTTCCAAATCCTTCAATTAAAACAAAATATTTTAAAATAACTGAAGTACATTTCTTATAGTCAAATTACTTAAATAAAATTACAGTAAATCAGCATCTTAAGAGTCAGATATCAGCTCCACCACTGCTGTAACACTGAATACATTTAAACCCTTAATCCTAAATTTGAGGGGGCAGACAGAGCACCTGCAGATGCTGCAGCTCATCCTTCTGGAGTATTGAGAGGTGACGTGAGGACATAATGGGAACATACACTACTTTCTGCAAGGCTCTTGGCACAGTGGACCTCCAGATCTCTAAGACAAATCTCAAATTGATAGTTAAGAAACAGAATACCTCCCTGTAAGAGGGAAGAAGACAAGAAATAAATTTTAACCTTTCTACTAGAAACAAATTTGTAACTGTGATTTCATTTACATAGCCTTGCCTTGCTATAGCTGTTTTAAGTGAGCCTGTGATGATCAGAGAAGGAGTAAGAGTAGAAGAAAAGCCCTTACTTTTTAGAGAAGCCCTTACTTTTTAGAGTATGATTCATTTTAACATTATCGAGTACTACAAACACTGAAATACCTGATCATAAAACTACAGATGCCAGATGGTGATACTACAGGGCGAGGTGATGTGGATAATAAGTTTATATCTTGGTATTTTGGGATTTATTTTATGAAAGCTTAGTTTCCAGTTTAATCCTTTGGATTTCCAGACCTATTATCTCTGTAATGTAATTTAGGTGTAATTACTAATATAGACATCAAACTTTAACATCATTTAAATGACCAACATAATTTCAGCTAAAAGTAGTATTGCATACAACTACCAACAGTTTAACAGTGTTAACACAATTATTTTTAAATGAGTTTTTAGACATTTTTAGAGTGTAGATGTGTTTACAAAAATGTAAACGTTTTTGCTGAACAAAATTAAAATATATTGCACAAAATTCTTAAAATGGATACCCATGGAATGTTCTAAAGTTCATTTCAGTATTAAAAAAATTGCTGTAATTTTGTTCAGCTCAGTTCTCATATGTGCAGAACAGTGGACAATCAAACACTGCATGAATGAAGTTTACAAAATTGAAAAAGAATTACTATATATATATGGTTTTTAGGATTTTAGTATACAGTTCCCTAAACACCCAGAAAATTTTTTAACAAATGCTTCCTCTCCAAGAAGAAAAATTAGATTGCACAAAGTTGTATTATAGTTGCATGCACTTCTGAAATGTTATTACTGGTTATAAAAACACCTAAAAGCACAAACCGACAGTTTATTTTCTGACAAAATATACTCAATTTGAAAACAGAAATTTGAATTCACAGCTACCAAGTGTGTAACTATATAATCACATTGGAAATAATTTACTTGGTGCTGCTTATGTGTAAAAAAAAAAAAAAAATTTTCTATTTGCTCCACAACTGTGAAAAAATACAATTCATGAAGCTCATTATGGTAAGAAATTACCAGAATTTCTTACAAAGAGAAAGTAATCTCACCTTAATTCTTCTTTCACTGTCCTCTAGCCTACTCTCTGCATAGGCTAGTTTCTTTGTCAGGTCATCTCTTTCAGCAAGGTGCTTATCTGCAGACAGCTTTTTCAGTTTCTGCAAGACAATTTTTGTTCTGTACAGTTCACCTTCCGAATCTTTCAGCCGTCTCTCAGTTGCACGTTCCCTCTCTTGAGATTTTCGTAGGCGCTCCCTTAATATTCTGATCTCATTGTTGTGCCGGGCAAGGAGCTGAGAGATTTCGTTTTCTGTATCTTCAAACTTACTCAAGGCTTTCTCCTGCCTGTGCTGAAGCCTCTTCAGTGCCTTGTTTTCCTTCTGCAGCTCATCTAGTTTGATGTGGAGTTCAGTTAGTTCATTTCGGAGCTCATTGATTTTCAGCAGCCTAGCAGAAAGAACTCTTTTTGTAACAAGATCTATATCTTTTGCAGGAGAATCCCTAGTGAGGCTCTGAGAACGGAAACCCCACCGTGTCTCTCTTTTGCTTGGTGCATATTTGGAACCGAATTTCTTTGTGGCTACGAGAGGAAAAATAAAAAGCATATTTACTATAAAACAGTGCAGTCTGTCTATTCAGACATCCTTTCTGCAATGAAGCTCTGCCTGAAACAATTTTACAATACTTAGCAGAGATTGCAACTTTCAAACCAGACAATAAAAGGCATGTATGTGATAGACTTATGATCCTTTTGATAGATAAAACCCAGAGATTTATGTTTGTTATGTACTGTAAGAGATAGCATTTGCAGACATCAATATAGGACCATTGTAAAGTAATAATCTGCAAATCTTATCAGAAATTACAGTCATATTTGGTTAATATTTGATGATGTTTATTAAAATGTTTTAGAAATACTGTACTCATGCATACAATATTATCAAATGCTTTTAAAATGGCAACAATTAGCTGAGCACTAGCTAGTTATATATTATGCAAGATGTAATTCTCTCAGACAAATGCAGTAGTATTTTCAAATCCAGCTGCCATGCTTACAGACAAAACAGCAGATTTCAAAGGCTCAATGCAAAAAGCCTCCAAAGCAAAATGATAAATCCCACGAAAATTCAGTTCTCCCGTGAATAATTTATTCTTGTATCACAAGTTATTTGCCACACAGTATTCTTATTTGATTACTAGTATGCATCACTCACATTCCTATTTGATATTATTATTTTATGATCATCCCCACAGATAAAAGCTAAACATTTTGTTTCTATCTTATTTGCCTCTCAAGCCACACTCAAAGAATGAAGGATATAATGCACCAAAAATATCTCTTAAAAACAACTGAATATACAGAGAGTGCATAATTCATGAAGGTACATCAGTGTTCGGAAGAAACATACTGTGCAGCAGCTTTTAATTCAGGCTTGAAAACGGTGATACAGAAATAGTGCAGTTACGTATACACAGACAGTGAGTGTGTGTGACAGCAAATTCTTCCTCCCCTTTGGCACTCACCATGTTTCTATTCTACAGAGAATATTTTGGAGCAAATATAAAAGCTTTAAAATATTTTCTTATAATTTCCTCTAAATATTTTTCACAAATATTCATTTTCTGCTTGATGCTTATTTTTTCCACAGCTTGGGCAAACAAAAGGCGGCTTTTTTTCCCCCCTTTACAAAGAATGCTTATGTCACATTCAGGTGTGAAAAGATTATCTAATACATGCACTGCAGAAATGATGCCACTCCTATCACCAACTAAGGCCATTCCCATTAACCCCAGGCTTCCAGCCCCTTCAAGAATTTCTCCACATTTAGGGCAGAACAGACAATTCCAATACCAGGTTTGCACTTTTGACCATATAGTTGAATTAGGGAATAGTGTCTTTCAAGGACACGACATTCATAATACCTTCATGTAATAATTATGTTCAGTTCTGGCTACGTAATCAAAGAACTAGTTATTCATTGCCCCCTCCAAATTAAATAGCACAGTGGAACTGCAGTTTTTGTTTCCCAGACAGCTAACCCATGACTGCTACGGAGAGGATGCCACTTCTGAACACAGAGAAGCTTGGCAAAACACCAGTTGCACCAGGACACCGACACCATCAAGGATTTGAAGAGATATACTCCCTGGGCAACTTCAATGTTTAAGGTTAGATCTTCTGGCACACTCAGATCTTAATGTTGGCTAAATGATTCACACAGTACCTAGCACTTATGAATGAAATAGAGTACTTGCTTGAGAAAGGCAGGATATGCTCTGACTTCACCAGCAAATGTATGCAATTATTTAGAACAAGCTGCCAAGGTACGGCAGAGAGGCTTCACATCCCTACTTCAGCACAGGACCTCTATAACCACTCTCTGCCTTTCTGTAGGGATATTCACTTCTCCATAATTTCAATCAAGCAAGCAGATTATGTAGGTGAGGTGTGTGAGAGGCAAAGTGGAGCTATTTCAGCTCAAATTGGAGATATTTTACCCTCAAGGAAGGACAAGGAAAAGCTTTCTTTTGAATTTCCACATGCACCTAACTTTCACCAAACACATTTTCTCTCTCTTGCACATTAGTGGTCCTTCATTTGTTTGTTTTTTGAAAGTACTCAGTATTACACTATAAAGCTTAGTCAACTAGACTTCCACAAGACAGAGATCTTTAGGGGTATTTTGTCAAAGAAATTTTAACAATTGTTTCGCTTTTACTGACTGCATAGTAAGGACTTGCTTTGAGTCCTTGGCCTCAAGTCTTTTTGTCAAAGACAAAAAGAGAGCATCAGCATGATTCAACAAAACGCTAGTATAAGAACCACATTCACTTGTTCAGAAAAATATGTATAATTCTGAAAATCACTAAAATCTTCCTTATGTAGGAAGAGGTTATCAGTTTTCAATGGAGCAGTTACAGTCTATCTGCCATCTGTAGCATAATTCACCTGAACCTTATTTGTAGATTCTCATAATGGTAGTTTCCTGCTTTTATTTCAGCTTTCAAAGATTATTGACTCTTTAAAGCAGTTACAAAGCAGCAACTTTGCTATCTACCTACCTTGGTAGTGCACAAGGCTGTTTGAAGTTTGTGTTTTGTGATCTCTTTTTTCTTGGCTTGTAGATGGATAGCTTAGTGTTGGCGACTGGCCAGATGAATGAGATGTGTTATCTTCATCTGAATAATAGGAGTCACTATTTTTATTCCCATCTGATTTCCTGTCGTGTTCAGAATCTGGGCTCCTTACTCTTTCGCCCATTTTTCAGATTTAACTGCTTCCCAGATTTTTCTCAAAAACTGTTCATTTTGACACAAAGGACCTTTCAGTTGTTACAATGGTAGCAGCTGGATTATTTCTTTGGATTTATCATCTTCATCTCCAAAGCATGAGACCTTTCCAGTTCGGTTCAGCATGCAGTAGTTATCATTCAGAATGCATTTTTTCTGTAACAGTTTAGAGAGAGGGAAAAAGTGAGAATGAGCTTGCTGTTTAGTTAAGAAAGAAAGGTAAAAAAACCTGTAAAATTATTCAAGATTCCTATAAACTTATACTCCATGCTGTGCTACATTAGCCTTATCTATACTAAATGTCACAGACATATCTCTAGGAATGCTACTAGTATTACACTCAGTAGTCTTAGAGTTCTCTCTGAGTTCACCCTCAACAGAGAAATCAGAAAATTAACACAGCTAAATCTAAAATAAGAAATTACTCCTAGGTTAAGAGAGAGGGGAAAAGAAGTATTTGGAAAACAGAAGACAAGTGAAAGTTTGATGCTACTCAGGAGAAGAATGTAAATATATTTTTAAACTTTTTAACCAAACAATGTATGCAACTAGAGTTGAGATATTTGTAGAATTTGACTAAATCTTCCGTATCACAATTTCTGACACTCCAATGATGTTAAACAATTGGCTTGAAAATCAGTTGTCCCATTTGTCTGGAGGACATTCTGTCCCTAACCACCAATGAGACTGTACCTATGCATCACAGTCTTTGCCCTGGAAAGTACTCTCATACCCTACAGCATCTAGGGCTTCGTGCCTTCAGGAACTGGCAGAAGCACGCACATTTGTGACATGTGCCCTACAGGAAAATGCAAATACAACCTTTTGGAGTTTTTATATCTGATAAAGAGAGACCACACTGCTGGTACATGGTATATATTAGATCTGCAGCAGGTATAAAATGAGAAGGGCTGCTCCTACAGCCTGTTTTCTGATGTAAACTGAAAAATCTTCTAATTTCAAAGTAAAAATCACCTTATTTTGCACTTTTGGAGACACTTCCTGCCAATATAATGGAGTAAATATATCCAAAATTTGCCTCACCTTCTCAGTCAAAAGAATTTTCTCATCATTTTAGGAAGTATTTTACTGACTACATTCAGCCTCCCATGTCTTTTGTCTCTCTCACCACTTCACAGCTCTCAGGCTTATTTCACCATCTATCTCCCTTCAATCCAACTTCAAGACATCAAGCCTCTAATGGGTGAATAAACTGGACTTGCATCAGAGCCCATAGGTTCTGCCTGTTTAATGACATAAGCTCCTAGCCCATTTCTAAATGGTAAAGCAAACTACACACAAAAAATTGAGCAGCTTTCAATCAAAATGCCTCTACATTGCGGGGCATACAACATACCTGTAAACGAGCTGTAACTTTGTCACTATATTATTTCCCCTTAATGCTTCTCGGCCCTCTATTCCACTGTCTATTGCATAGCCAAGCAGAACAGAAATGTCAGTTGCCAAGACAGTTTTCATTACAAATTCAAGCTTTTTGGCCCAGTTCACTGTTAGCACAACTCTGCCTCCAGTGACTGCAATCCATCTGCCCTCATATACAGAAGGAATTAGAGGAATAAACATCCCACAGATTTCTCAACTGGGAAGCTGCTGGGAAATTAATACTGAATTATTTGGAAGAGAGGTTTTTTCTTTACTTAGGGAGTAACTTTTGAAAATAATGTTTTTTAAGCACCTAAATATTTTCAAAGTGGTCCAACTAAACTACATGCCTAAAACTTAAGTCAGAGAAGATTCTGACGAAAATTAAATTTGCACTGCAAAGCCCAGAAAGATCTTGAGATGCTTGAGATCATTTGTCCCAGAGACTGCTAAACACATGCCAAAGTATCAGTTATTGTGAACATTCAGATGATCAGTGATGATCGTTCTTTTCTCTTCTGAAGTAATGCAATTAAAGATATTTCAAAAGTATATACCTAACCATAATTGTATTATCTTGTTTAAGTGTAATGAAGACCCTCATATATGCTAATGAGAGCAGAACTAAGATCACGTAAGAATATTAGAACCAGGGTATATTGCTACTCTCAAACAGCTCCACTCCTAAGTCCTGGCCTCACAAACATCTGCACAGAATCTATATTGTTTTGCTCCTTGAAGAGCAAACCAAGCCCAAACTGAAACAGGGACAACCTATTCTTTAGAGAGTACACAGGCAATACTGCGTCAGTTCTGTTTCCCCAGGACAGAATCTCAGAGAATACAAAATTAGAAAATAAACTAATATATTTATATTAAAATACTAAAATAATATACTCTGGAGGGCTGCAACACCTCACATTATTACTGTCATCCTGAGTGAAAACAAAAAACCATTAAAAACAGTAGTTGCATTTGTAATTCACACAAAGTGTGGTGGCGCCACTGAAGCCAAAGGCTTCATTTCCAGCTAACAACATGGGCCACAAAACTTGTCAGACTTTATCTGAACTAATTTTGGGTGACTGGAGCTTTGTTATAGCTTATTTAGCTGCCACAAAATTAGTTAACAACCAGGGAACTTACCTGTTTTAGCTTTTTGCTCAGCTTTGTACAATCGTCTAGCATGTAGTGCTACATTTATGTTTTTAAATAACAGACAGCTATTACAAGCAGTAATTCTGTGAGGGCAAACTATCTACAACCCTTGCAGAAATGCAGCATAGAAGAGTACAAGCACGGGGCAATTGCAAGGACCTGAAAGCACAAACACAGGACAGTAGCAGGGCCCTAAGCTATAACAGCTCACCCGTGCTCAGTCACTGGTCATCAATGGGATGCAGTCTTGCGAGCTGGGTAACACCAGTTTTGTAGGAAACATATAGAACAAAGAACAAGTACTCAACATATGTAAAACACACCACATAGTAAATTGAGATGTAATATGGAATCATGAATTGATGAACAGAAGAACAGAATAGAATAAAGAGCAAGGTGCACAGTGTATTAAAGATATAAAAATTGTCCCATATGAATCCAAGGCAAGGAGGAAGAAACCATCACCATCCTCCTCCTGCCAGGGAAGGATTTGGGATTATGATGACTTGCTGCAAAGTCCTCCTCCTCCCAGATGAAGCCAGTCAAGTCCCAGAGGGAGAGTGGGTGGGTGAAGATAACACCAGAGAAAGGGTTTGGTTCTAGTTTGTGCCTGTTATCACTGTAACCGTATATAACTTGAACTGTGTTAGTATCTGGACTAATACGAAGTCTTTGATTAGACTGTTAGTATTTTAATTAGACTAACAATCCACTGTTGGCTGTGCATCTGTGTTCCTTGCTTGCTCGTAACAACATGCTGAATAAAACAAACTGGTGGGAATTCAAGCAACCTAGTCTGTTACTTGGATGCAAGTCTGTCCCAGGGCCAGAGGGTCACATGTGGCACCCGGACTCCCAAAGTGGGCACATCAGTGTTATAGGCACCACCACATCTAGAAGTGTTAACTCAGCCCTGTGTGGAGGCAGGGATTACTCTACAGTGCAAATATCTTCAACAGACACCCCCAAAGTTGGTCTGTCTTCAAGACACAGGACAGAAAGAAATCATTATGCAGGCTTTTTCTTGAGAATAAAACAAATATCAATGAAAACAAATGGGACTGCATTTAGAGAAAACATAAATGCCGACAGTTCGATCAGTAAGATGTCTAATTAGATACATAAAACAAGAACGCTCACTTTCACTTACTGATTTAAAGCTGATTAGTTATTTTATAGTCCCACAAGTGTTCATTGAAGAGGCAATAATATTTTTGAAGAATGCTTTTCATAACTCAGTGTATTTAAAACAGACAAATTTTAAGAACTGGAGGATTAATATTATCCATCACTTCTGTACTGGATATTCCCCACATTTGAGAATATTTTGCTAAGTATCATTTTGACATACAGCAACATAAATGAACAGTAATTTTTGATGTGTTCTGGAAGTACTTTGAAAAGCAATGGACTGAAAACAAACTGAAAAAGGTGAACCAATAAAAGCTCCCTTAAGAGATCACCAAAAACATTTTCTGAATCTTCAAATGGTTTTCAGCTTTATAAATTGGTAATATTATCATATTTTCCATATAAAACAAGAAACCTTAGTCTGTCAAGCCTTGCCAAATTCAGTTTCCCACTAGTTTATAATGTAACTTGATTAACATAAAAAATGCATGGTTTAGCTTGAGAATGAATGAACCACTAGGATATTTGAGTTTTACTTCAATTAGCCTAAGGACTGTCTAATTAAGAAATGCTTTGGTTCATTGACTTTTCAATTGTTACCAAGTAGTTTGAGTTGATTATAAAATAAGTTCAACTTGTGTGAGTAAGATCCACAAAGATTATCTATTTTTCCCTCGTACATTTAATAAGTTTGTGAGGAGCAAAACACAGTGGGTTGGCAGTAGGTCTACTAAGCTTTCCCCCACCACCAAAACCCCAACCCTCTCTCCTCAAAAACTTCACACATGCTTTTAAAAGCCTAATGGCGTCAAGATCACATCAGTACAGGATGGCTGAAGTAAATCTAAGACTTGTACAAACTTTAGAAAAGGTTTTGTTTCCAGAATATCATATTCCTTAATTTCAGCAACTACTGCTATTTAAATGTACTTATTTTGTATTGAAAACACGATTACTGTTATAAAAACCAGTCAAGCTCCAGGTCACTGTGAAGGATGGATGTGGCAGACAAAATAGAGAACACAAAACAACTCCAATGGTGACAGAATACTGTCTTCCTATCATTTAAATACTAGATTACAGGTATTAAGCAATAGAGAGAAAGGAAAATTAATCAGTAACTCTTCTCTCACAGTACACCTAGAGCTTAGTTCTGTAATGCATTACCCATAAAACTTTTAAAGTCCTTTTCAATCTTAATACCTTTCTAAGATCAGAAGCAGCAAGATGCTTTTACTGGTCACCATATGACACCTCCTGGATACAGGACCTCTTATGGTCCACTCAGTTTTTCCACCTATTCCGAGAGGGACAGCGCAAGAAAGACCCAGCCTCAGACAAGTTCAAAAGCATCAATCCAAATTATTAAAGTGCTGAACTTAAGAATGACTTAGAAAGAAATTCGTCTTACTCTTCTTCCTCCACTCATTTTTTTCACATTGAAATACTATATTTTTTTCCAGAAAAGAGAGGAGCAAAAGAATTTACGTGTATCACATCAAAACATATTCACTGATGAGGCTTTAATGAGGAGCAAATATTTTATTAGGGATGCTTTCTGCACAACTGCTGACTTATCTGTATACATTTCTTCTAGGCTTACAAGCTTTTGGTGAATTAAAATACTATACGGTTGTAAAAGCCAGTGTTAAATTTATCTGATTCTGTGACAGTAATATTTGGTGTAACTTTCAGCAGCAGATCTCAAAATGAAAAAGTCTATATGAAAAAAGTCCATAAATCTCAGGTAAACAGTACCTGAGAAACAGCAGTGCAAATAGGTAATACACAGGCCAGTCCTACGGCGAGGAAAAAAAAAAGATTATGTTTCTAAATCCTCTACCGAGGAGGTGCATGCCGTTGTTCATATTTCCGCCTATACCTCCGGTGTGTGTAGACTTACCTAGTTCAACTTAGCCATTCCTGAAAGCAGCTCTCCAGTTCCCAAAGAGTAAGCAAGAGATTTTCCTTCACTGGAGAAAAGCTCTTAAAAAACAGATCAAATATTACTATTAATTAACTCTTTTTAAAAACAACTAATGACTACACGTGAGAGCACATTTTCAGTGCAATAATTCTGCCCGACAATAAGTGGTTTCTGAGGAAAGGGAGTGACATCCGCGGCCCCGCTTTTCTGACGGCCTGTTGCCCGCAACCCGCAGGTGCTGGGGACGAAGCCTCCCTCCGCGCCCTAACCCCACCGCTGGGAGCCCCGGGGCCGAGCCGC